AAAGGTAAAGAGTTTTAAATATATGCCTCTGTCACCATGTAACTTCTTTGCCCTGTAGTGTCTATCTTTAATCATTTAGATTTTATCCAAGCAGTCAGTTTTGGCTTTAAAATAAAATACTTGTCTTTTGCCCTCAAAATTATCTTTCCAAATCAGCTGATATGAAAGAAGGCCAAAATCAGTCAGCTGTCACTTTATCAAATGTCATGTGACTTCAGCCATGACTCCTTTGAAGAGCCAAGTAGTGTTCCGAGAGGGCCAGGCCTGCCCTGTATGTGAATATATTCTGTGTAACAGGCAGGATACTGCTTTTTCCCAAACCTAGAATAACTGCTAACCACTTTGGCTACATAAATAAGGTATTTTGACACCTGTGTCCTTTTCAGAAGAGGCACAAAATGCAGTGAACCAAGTACGCAGACATCTTCTAAGCCTTTTTTCCTCAAAAAATATTTGAACCAAAACCAAAAGCAAACGGATCCTCCGTCACCCAGTGACATATATATATATGTTACTCACTCATGACAGGGACAAAATATAACGATCGCAAAACAGCACAATATGGCCCAAGTATAATAATTACTGCTTACATTACTATGGCACCTAGGAGGCCCTGTCATCAGCGAGAAGCCACTATACTAAGCAATATATGAACACAGAAATAAAATAAGATAGCCCTTGCCTCTCAGAACAAAAATCACGAGAGATGCATACAACACACCACCTCGAAATCTCAGTCAGTCAGTCTTGGCAAGGCTGCAATATCACCGCTGTCAGTTTTTCTGCCGCCACCAAAACAAAGGACACCGCTGGAGTCAAAGGAAAATAGGAGGTAACAGGAGCAGGCTATGTGGCATTATTTCAGTACAGAGCTTCCTACCTGCTACAGTTGAGTCACCAAGTGTACTGCTGTGGCAGACATAAGCTTCCCATTGAAAGCTGATTTGCATGATCCCACCTAATGCAGATTTTACAGAATGACATCTGTAATTTACTCCTGAAGTGTCTAACAGCCATCTTCGCTTCGTTTCTAACTTCCTTTCTGTCTTCAGTGCATTACTTCAGTACTCTTATTAATTCAGTAAGGCCATGAATTTTACTGGGAATTTCTAGTGTTTAGTGGCCATCGTACCCGTCAGGAAACTACATGTGAAAATTCAGATCTTCCTGAAGTTTTCCTAAATGCCTGATGCATTTTGGAATTTGGATTTTGGAATTCTATACAGCAATTATAGCTTTTCCATATGGTACTGTCTTCTGAAGCACCCAGAATCAACATTTAGCTAGGAGGGAACAGAAAAATATGCAGAAAGAGGAATAATCAAATAATTTAATTTCTCCATATGAAGAGTTTTGAGTCAAATGCCGAATTTGTACGAAGCATATACCTGAATCTCATCTCCTCCAACAGCACCGAATGAGAGAAACTGGATAGCTTCTGCTTATTTTCTTCACTGGCCTGGATTCAAATCCTTTACTTTGTAGAATTTATTCCAATTGTAAAAAAAGTCCAAACAACAAATGTTGCAACAGAGTTTCTAGGCTGAAACTCAAGAATTGCTTTTTTAAATTAGATCTCCACGTAACACAACTACTATAAAAATATAAAATTCTGTGCATTATGGTTGTTTTTCGATTTTTCCCTCCTTGCTATGGGAATGTGTTCAATCTCACGTTTTGCAATCACAATACATTTGTTTACTCTGCCACCTTTTTGTCTTCGTCCCTAACTTCTATTCAGTGTTCACACCAGTCAGAGTCCAAATAAATCCTCACATTACATTTAAGTTTTGGTTGCTACCGAGTCACAAATACTAAACAGTTTATCTATGAAATAGACAAATATCCTTCCCATACCAGATCCGGATAATGTGTGTGATAAGAGATATAAAGATTTTGTGTGTGAAAAATATATAGAACTATGCCTATTTAGCAAATGTGAGCCATTCCACCCTCCTTCCATAGAGAAACTTCAGGAGGAAGGAAAATTCTCTAGGGAGTCTGTGGTAGTACATGGGGTTTGCTCAGCTGACAAACTTTCAGAATATATTTTGTGATGATTGATAGTCTGTGATTGATAAGAAGCACACTGCTCTAGTTAGAAACTGTCTGGTTAGCTCCTGTAAGAATGGTAATTGTACATTTGGTGTCCTGAAATGCCTTCTCATGTGGAGAGAGGAACTTGGAAGAAATAGTGAGTCACACTACCAGCTTTTGACGTGAAAACCCTGCCAGCAAGTGCTTGTGGAACATTGCTGTTCTCCCTCTGCCTGGACTCCGTGAAGCCCTGTCACCACAGAGGATCTGGAGCTGGGGACAGTGCTGCTTCTAGCACTTGTTCCACTTCTGTGCACAGCACACCTCTGCTTGAAGTACTGTGGCAGTGGTGAGATCCTGCACATGCTGAGGCCAGTGAGAGTTTCCCAATGGATTTTACAGAGCTAGAACAAACCCCAGTCTGAACTGTTAACAAGCCAAAACAAGATAAAAATCTGAAAAAACACTGAGATGGAAAAGAAAGCATCGTACTAAAAGATAAAGAGCCAGAGGCTGTGATTTGTTCAGTAGTTAAGCAGTGCTAAATACCTCTGGTTCACCAACCAAATCTGTTTTATAAATACAAATCTAAAGTACACACTTCAGTGCAGAAGTCTGCCCAACAGTGTTACACAGGTAGTAACTAGTTTTCACTCATTCTCACTGAGCTCCACTAAAACTACCAGATTGCAAATTGCTGCTTTTGTCTTATTTTTTTGGTCACAGAAAGACACTTCTGTTCGAAGCTTAAACTAAGTATACTCGCTAGTAATTCTGTAGTGTGGTTGTACGTTCTTTGCTGTAATGTTTCCTTTTAAGTTTACATACCTTTCGTCTATTGCATCAAGACTTACCTACTAACAGCTTTATTTTTATATCCTTAAATGCTTTCAGTATTGCTTTTGATGATAGCTACAACTCTATTCTTGGGAGTCCTAACTGTTTCCAAAAAACACTCTCACAATTTTTATTATGAAATAAAAAGGTGCTTCTTTCTGTATTCAGACTTCCTGGAAAGCATATAGCAGGTTATTTCTATTTGTCATTTCAGTAAAGGGAAAATACACTCTGTAATATTGGAAAGGAAGGAACCATAGCTTCTCTAAAGCCATCAGCCAAATAGCAGTTAACTTTAAATTCTGGCATCCATAATGTCTGACTTCCCTTTTTCTGTATACTTATGGTTGCGAGAGCCCCATCGTCACCTGGCAAATTTGTGAATGAAAACCACTGAGCGTATGATTACATTAATGCAATTAGTTTTGGCAAAAGAAACATTTAAGAGCAAAAGGAGCTCCATCAGCAATGAAAATATTTGACTGACCATTACTACCTTAGAGTCTACACTTTTCAAATTACAAAGCATCATGAAACAAAAGATCTTTAAATCTGCATTTATACAGTAGAAAAGACTTGTCCTTCATAAAGGATATGTAAACATGATTTAATATTGACACAGCCTCAGCAGAATCTTTAAGCTGAACAGGCAATACTACAATGCATCCTATAAATTAATCCATTGACCCTCTAAAGCAAGGCTAGCATATCATTAATACTTGAAACAGGGCAACATATTTCAACTGAAGAAATGATAAAAAAATCAGTGAAAAGAACAGAAAAGCTCATGAGAGATTATCACCATCTAGTAACTCTTGCTTAAAGATCTATTTACTGAGAAGTCTTAAGTGAAATAGCTGTCACGCAGGACGAACTGAAGACAAAAACCATCATCAATCTCATTTAGCAGCATAAAAATGGAGTAGCATTATACATCTAATTGTCAAGGAATGGTTGGCAAATGAACCACAATGATCACAATAATGCAAAAACTAACTCAAAGTCCACAGTTTGATTTGATAACAAAACATTTTCAAAATCCCAGCACTGATACAGAGGATACTCATATTATTCATTCTCAACTTCAAATTACTCATATTCTATAGGCTTATGTGTGTGTGTTTATATATACATATGTATGTACATACATATATATACATACATGCATATATATATGTGACTCCTTTATGTTAAATGAATTTCGGAGAACGTAACAAATCACCAAAATTTAACAAACCATGATGAAATCAATAGCCATATATTTAAAAGAATCAGAGGACTAGAATGTAACCAAGTTTAGAACGTTTTCTTACAGAATTTTCTCAAGCAGCATATGCCTGATAGATAGCAATGTTTCAATCCAGTTTCAGAAATAATAAATAGGGTCATAAATGTAAGAATCAAGCTGTTTCTGTTATGCACATGATTTTCTTCTTTGTCAATCCTGATTTTTTTAAAAAGACTGTTTACTTGTATCTTTATAAATTCACCTGTGTGGATTTATTCATGCAAAGTCTTTTAAGTAGAAAACCACATATTGGAACAGTTACAGTTGAATTGTATCAGTTACAGTTCATTTCGAACACAAAATTGCCCTTGACTCAAGAGCCAGTACAAGGGATGCTTTCAGCACTAGAAGACTGTTATTGCAAAATCAGACACAATTAAGGGGGGTCTTTCAATTTAACAGCAGAATTTTAACACAGAGAGAGAGACATACTTTCTTCCTGGACTTCAGAAAACTCCCATACTACAATGTGCTAATAAATACATATTAAAGGATTATAAAATTGATAAAACCTAGATGACACCAATAAAACATAGGACATGTCTGCATTCCAGACTAAGTTAAACAAAATGCAGAACTTTTTTGATAGGTTTGCAAGTCATTCAAGTAATATCTACTGAAAGGCACCTCTGAGAATTTCTGCTTCAACAGCTAAAACTTCATAGTCTTCTCTGGAGAAGGATGGCAGCATAAAATCAAGTATGTAAATACAGTTACAGAGTTTAAAATTCTTAGTGCATATCAAAACATAAAAGCTCTTTGTTCCACTCTCCTTTAAATCAGCATGTCTGGTTTGCTGTGAGATGTACCTGATCTAGGCTGGAGACTGGCGTGGTACCTATGGTGGAAGTGTAGTGTTGGGAAAAGAAACATTACTAGGGAAGCAGTAGAACATATCTTTTCCATGGCTACATTCCTGGGGATGCAAGATAGTCAAAACAAACCCAACTGTCATCACTAGCACACCGACAGCAAGAATCAGGCAGGATATGAGGTTATCTGAATGGTTCCATCGCTCTTTGGACAGCCTTAGATAACACGCTGTTGGGATGATAAAAACAAGTGGGGTAGCACTCAGAACTCCCTGTGTGTGGGAAACAATAGAAAAAAACCCTCATAAGTATGTATATTTAGATGTGAAGAACAAAAACTTTAGTTTTTAAATAGTTGTGATTAGACTGATGCAACAGTAACTCCAGAGAACAGAGGCCTTCTCCAGTGTTGCTATATGGAAAACTTTCCTTTTGAAATCACAAATAACTTGCAAAAATATCCATAAAACTGTTTGAAATAATTCAGATTTATTTAAATGCTTTTGCTTTGCTGACACAGAATAATATTTTATGTTGCAAGCACTATTAAATCTCATTATCAGAAGTTTCTCGGCTTCAGAAGTACACTAAAAGTCCAAACATAAGTTCAGCAATACTGTAACTTACTTACAATATTTAAGATTATTCCATGTAAGACTACATATAATACTGCCTTTAAAAAAAAAAAGTGCAAACATCATGTAGCAGTTCAGAGAATTCTGATCAATTTCTACATTTATGATCTGATTTATGTTGACTTCCCTATGAAAGCAAAGCTCCCTTTGAGAGTAGAACACCCCCTCTTATTAAAAATTCAGCTCCTCTTTAAATGCTCTCTTAGATAGGGACAGATAAAAAGCACCTGCTTAAATGATTTTTATAGTAAAGCCACTGCAGATTGACATATGAGTTAGATGCCAAAAGAGAGCATTTTTATGCACAAACTTTTTGCATTTACTTTGTCACATACGTGACAAACACTATGTTTCAATGTAATTATGGTGAGGTAGTAATCCAGCCTACGGAATATCTTTGCATCATCGTTTGTACAAACTTTTGTATATTTTTATGGTAGAATCTATTAACAGTGGTCAGTACAGACATCAAAAACAGGTACATGCGCAAAGTATCTTCTTCGTAAAAACTGAGACTCTTAAGTAGGTGAAGCAACACAAACCAGCATCCCAGTAAAAAAACAGCACAGCAAAATTCCCTTGACTCCCATAGGACTGAACGATTTCCCTGGGGAATTACCACAGGGCAAACACAATGGCTTGTGTTTTAAAACCAGACAGCAGGGAAAAAGTAAGCAGTCAGAGAAATAGCAGCAAATGGCATCTGTGGTGGAAAACCAAATGACAGTTCTTCTGTTGGACAGGAAGCTTTCTGAGAAGACAGATCATCTTTCCCTCACATGTAAAGACTGCCTATTAATTTTTCTCTACTGGTGGACATCAAGACTGAACAATCTTTCTAAGTGCAACGATTACATCCAATAAATATATACAGCTGTACTATCAAATTGTCTCTTAAAAAGGAAAAAAAAACAAATCACAAGATATGAGCTACCCACTCAAATGCCTGGCTATCAACTTCTATTTGTAACTGAATCAAGCTATCAGCTTCACTACTGAGTAACTGCTTAGCCCTCTCTGGGTAAAGATATTGTGCTGCTGGAATGTTTGCTTTTGAGTGACTATTTTAAAACAAATTCCAAACAGGAATCACACATATTTATTCACGCTACAAAGACTCAGTGGCAGTTCTCTGGTGTAAATTTATTCTTAACACATTATACCATATAATAAATGTAATACCATATAATAAATGTATCTATATATAGATATCTATGGGCGCACATAGTTAATTAGGTTCATTATACCAGTATTTGGATATTTGGCCGGAATAGGCATGTGTGTATGTATGCACACTTTTAAATACTTCTATTGGTGTGTATACACACATACAGGTGAATTTTCTGCATTTGTAATGTAAAAACAGAGGGGAAAAAAGACGGAAAGGAAATTACCAACAGATGCCATGAATGAGAAATTTTAATGGAAATACGCATCCTGACCAAACCAATAGGAATATTGTTTATTTTGAGCTAGTTATAATTTGGAAAGCATTAACGGAGAAGAAACTATGTAGGTAAAAGAAACTACGTAGGTAATTGTTTTAAATAGAGGGTAATTGGATAGCTTATCTGAATATTCAGACCTGTTGTATAATATCACTGCAAGCATGGCCTGCTAAATCATTGCTACAAAATCCCTCATTACTGCTCTGTTAGCAGATAAACTGCACTGTGGAGCAGAACAGTGTACATGTATCATAATGTACATACAAATACATGTATCACGTAGCATTAAGAACAACTCCGTCTGTTTTGTTCCACCAGTTTGAGGTAAGTATGCAATACATGGCTTGAAATTGTCAATAAGTGCATGGACAGGGGCATAAGCAGGCAATTCTAAAACATATCTATAACGAAGCAAAGGCTGCCCTTAAAAAGTTTGCTCCACCTTCTAACTTCTCTACCCCGGAGTATGATATTTCTACATCTCCTTTACTTATTAAAAATAGCTGACCTGAAATAGAAGGTAAACTGTTAAGACAAACAATGTTTATCACAAATGTAGATTGGATTTTTTTTTTAACATTTCCTTTGATTAAGGGTACATTCTGTGCCAAAACAGACTGACATCATCTTATAAGCCTACTTTGCTAACTAGTAGTCTAGGACTCTAGTAGACTACACTGCAGTTCCAACCAAAAAAGTGACATTAAAGTGTTAAAACTGGTTCAAGCCAGTAAGCGCCCTGTGTGGTCTGCCTGTCAAGCTCCATCTCTGCTATGAGGCGAGACCAGACACTGGAATGTTTACTGGCAAACAAAGCAGTTTCCTCCTAAAAATTGTACACTCAGGTTATGAAATTACTCAGTTTTCATCTCTGTTAAGCACAAAGCAGGGAAAAATTCCAGTTACTGTCTCTGTGGTCTCACTACTACTGGTTTGTTCTTTCTACTCCCCCACCTGTTTTTTGCCCCTCTGGCACAAGGCAGTCATTAGGATCTGCCCCAGTGTTTCATAATTTGCTAACTTCATCAGAAGCAGGGATTAGAGAAAGAAATGCTAGATTCAGTCCTGCAGTACAGTTAGGATGAGTATTCCACTGCATGTGGAAATCACTACATTCCACTTACATTTGGTAAGTCAGAGCCACTTGCCATATTTCCAGAACAGTTCTAAAATCCCTCCTCATTCATATGAACTTCATTCACTGAACTTCCTTTCTCCTTTAATTATCTGATCTTGAAGTAGTAAATAATTTATTTTTCTTCTACTAACATTTCTACTGACTACTATGTTGAATTACTTAAGAAGTAGACCTGTGGATTTTTCAGAGTTCTGTTTTATAAATAAGCGATATATTAAATAAAAGAGTATACAGGTTCACTTACATTCAGCTCTAAAACTATCCCAAGGCAATCATACACTAATGATACACCAGTCGCCACAGCAACGATAACTACTGTCACAACAATATGGAAAACTGTTGAGAGGTTCCCATGGAAAAACACATTGGCAATCACCTGAAACAGAACCACAATTTTAAACCTTGATTTTGCTTTTCATGTTAACACACAGCTTATTCCAAATTTTCTAAGCTTAGGAAACTAAAAGAATGGGTGAGATTACACTGACTGAACTTTACCTATCCTGCTTCAAGAAAACATCTTCATCCGCTTCCAAAAACAACTTACAACACGCATTACTAAAATTGCAGAACACTTGCAAGAGCAACTTAGTTATACCTGCAGGATTTAGGGCATACTTACTTTCTTCTCATTTGCCCACTACACAATAAAATCCACTTACAATTATTTACTGAACAGATGTATTTCCTACATGTAAATACTTTCACAAAGCAAAGCTAGTAAGCATGATAAATATGCTATTTTTGGCTATTCTCAACACAATAAAAACAGTGGCATTTATTCAAACTTGGAATTTCAAGCAGTCCTGATAGTATTAAGTAATTATCAATACAACATCGGATAATCTTACAATAAATATAATACAACATTATATTGCCAGAATCTAAACAGTACAACTAGTACTTCATACTCAGTGCATGCAGCAGGGTATGATATGCTGATATTTACTACACATCAACCATTGACTTCAGTTACAATATGTATTAATAATGTGAGAATATTATTACTCTATATCAACCTTGATAAAGGGAGAATGTAATAAATTCTTACCTCTCTGGTCACAAAACATTCAAGGGGGAAGGTCAGAATTACAGTAACTCCATAACAAAACCTTCCAAATGTAGCAAGGTTGTCATCTCTACAGTAGTTTTCAAATATATCTCCTGAGGCACAGCAAAACATCACTTAGTTTTAACTTTATGTCATTTGCCTATTTGCAAATTGAAGTGTAAGTTACTGGAGTTACTGTAGTAATTGAGACTTTCTGATCTCCTCTCCTGACACATATCAAGAAATTGTAGTTACAGTCACAAATCGCACCCAGGAGGAATTTTCACCTTATGCTACTAGTAGTAGTGTTTTTATTCAAGTAGCATTTATCTTTAAAAAATATTTTAACATACACACCTGTTATCCTCCCCTTCACACAGATTTTGTACTAGATGCTGGTGTTTGTTTAAATAAATATGTGACAGATTCTGAAAGAAAGCTTGTATATAAAAGACGCATTTCCTTTAAAAATGTAATTACTAGAACAACAACAATTACATAAGGAAGACCAGTGAGTTACCTCTGGAGAACCACATTTCCCTGATAGTATCTAATCATAGCAGGTAAGCCGCAGTGAAGAATTTCACATATTCTGACCCCAAAAGCCCATTATGAACATATGGATTATTACCTAGCAAATCTTCTTACATCTAACAAAAAAAAACTTGCTAGAGAATTCAAATCATCATCTTGCTTAGCGTATACCACAAAGAATCTGGTATAATGATCTCTGAGGCACAACAGACACTGCAAGATAGTGACCACATGATCTGTCAGGTCTTTTCTACCCGATTGCTATACTGTCTTACGATTTGCTACTTTTAGGATCACAGTGGCACTGAAAAAGCAATAAGGTGAGAGAAAAAGGTAAGAGAAAACAGCCAAAAGATTTTGACAGGAGAGACAGAAGGTAAGATGGAACCTGCTTACAGTAGAGTCATATGCAAAGGGATAGCTGGAGTCAGAGCTTTCTATACTTGAAATACCACTTTGCACTTAGTCTAGCTGCAGTTGCACCTCAAACACTAAGTCATTCAGCATCAACAGTAGTGGAGGCAGGAAAAAAGCACAGATAAACCAGTAACCCCCATTCTACAATTCCTCTGTTCTCAGCTACATGCTGCTGATCATCAGGAAAGAGAAAAGCTTGGAAGTTTTCTCCTACAATCTAGAACAGCACTATTCAATAAGAGGAAATCTGCTTGCTTATGAAATGTGCACTGTCCTGAAGAAGGTAATGCACTGAAGAAATTTGTGCCTTGTTCTTCTGAAAGCACCTTTTCCACTTTGACAAAATGATGTTAAATAGTATGATGTAACATGGATTACATATATTTATACATATATGTATGTATGTATAGCAGAACAGTTGTTGTAAAGATAGGAAATATCTCTAGGCCAGAGCTAGGATGCTGTATTAGCACAGACAGCAAAAGATACAGGAGAATGTACGGAATTATATGCCATCCAGCCTGTAGAAAAATCAAACCAATTTTTGTTCTTACTGCTCTCTTCTACTGGACCACATGCTAAATTATAGATGCTTAGTCCTCAGCAGTATTTTGATTACAGAAGTATTCAAAGGGGACTTTCACCGGTGAGGCTTACACTTGGGAATCTGACACCTATTGGCATCCTGTTTTTGTTGCTGGGTAACTAAAAGGAATGTTCTAACTATTTCTGTCCAAACACAGTATGATCTTGGCATTTTTACAATCACTTAAGATATAAACAGTAAAAGTCAGACAGAAAGGTGGAAAAGTAAGGATTACAGCAAGCACCAAAATTGAGGGATCAAGCAGTTTACCTTCTGTGTATCCTGTAAAAGTCATGTATCCACATGCAGCAAATGCCACACTGATAACAACAGCAAGGGAGACAGATGCATGTGTGACTCGAGACCAGTTCTTTAGTGTGGGTTCTTCCAGAGACCCATATATTAAAAAGCTGTTATGGTTGCAGATGAATGCTGAAACACATCAAACAGTTAAAGCAAATGTATGAACTCATGCATCTATGTATATAAAAAAAAATTTACAGAATGTGTACTCCAAGGTAGGAGAGACATAGCAGTTTGAGCCCACTCACTATTAAATACAAATATTAATCCTGCAATGAGTGACAAAGATAAATGGCTTGAACTTTTATTTACTTCTTTGATTTGATGAATATTCATCCTGAGATGATTCTGATTACACTACGCTAAAATGCCACGCCATTTCCCACCCTCCCCATCTCCATTCCACCTCTATTTCCTCTTCCTGCTCTTCTTTTGCTTAAGAACCCAGCAGCACCTTTGAGATTCTTTTTTAAATCCACAGAGCCAATTTCTACTTTCAGACTTCCTATGAAGTCTTCCTACCCGTTTTAGGCAGCAGCAAGCATCAGGAGGCTTCAGATTATCACAGCGTTAATCAGAAGTAATATACCAGCTCCTCCAGGCAGGAACAGATTTTAGAATGAGGATAATGGAGGTGAGTTGAGACTCACCTGAATGGTTCATTGTGAGAAATGGGATGCAACAGGCACTCTAGCGAATGTATGCATTGCAGTCTAAGATTTTTCTGTTAGAGGTTATCCAAGAGAACACAGAATGATCACAGCCTCCTCAGTTTATCAATTAGAGTAACCCTGTTGGTGTAGGTGTTTTAAGACGACCTGGGCAGTTGAGCTGGATTCATGTGCCACACCACTCTCTCTGCTACAGTGGCAGTAGCCTCTAGGGCCAGATGGGCAATCAATGGCGGTAATGTCTTAAACCACAATGATTACATTCACCTATGGATGACTCAAAGTCAACTTCATTTTTTTTCTAAACAAGCTGAATGTCAACATAAAAAAAAAAATTAAAATCTGCAATTTTTACATCAAAATAGTAAATAAACTAATTTCTCAACAGTTGATCCATATATTGAAAACACACAAAAAAATTACTTACCAAATGACATCACCCCAACGGCTTGTACTGCATTTGATTTTGCAAATATCCACGCATTTTCTGATTTGGGTCTAAAACAGACATTTTTTTAAATAGAGTATCCTCTTTTCAACTATCAACTATTAAATTTTTAAAAATCAACTTTCAATTATTAAAAATAATCTGAAATACTATGCTGTAATACAGAACCGCTAGTCAGATCTCCAGAACTCTCTGAAGTAGGCCACAGTGTTCATCAGTAAGTTGAAACTAGGGAGATATTCTTCTCACCTGCCTTGTTTTGATTAAAGTATTTCTGTAACCAGTTTTTACAGCCAAAAATGTCAGCCTGTTTCAGTGACCAGTTTTGTAAATAAACTCTTGAAGTCATCATATACCAATAAACGGCAACAGGGAAGGTAAAAGCTGTTACTGATTCTGACTAAGGTTATCTCAACCCAAAATCTCTTCTGACTATTTAGAGGCAATTTCTTCCTTTGAGTTTGCACATGTAATCCACGCAATCTACAGATACTTTTTTCCTAGGCTACAAATCTAGTGGGGCAGTTTGCCTTTCTTGGCACCTGTTCCAACTATTTCTCATAGCAAAAAGGATTTTGCTAGTTCCCAAAGGAGTGATAAAATAAAGTGTAAGAGAGTATACAAAGACTTGTATAATCAGGCAAGAATGTAATATCCCCCAAATCTGGTCCTCTGTATGCCCACAATTTTGGACCTGTGGTAATTGTAAGTCTTCGAGGAGGACCACAGAAAACCATCAGTAACCTTTGTTAAAATCCATTTGACGCATGAACTTACTCTCTGAAAAAAGAATCAAAATAAAGGAAAGGGGAAGGATGTGAAACATCCTTTCCCAGAACTACAATTTGCTAAAAATATAAAATGAAATTCACAAGTCAGTTGAACATTGTAATATTAAAGCATAGACAAAGCAACACTGTATACAGAGACCTTGCTCTTAAAAAGTTGGCTGCTGTTAACTTTGATTGCTCTTTTTTTATTTATAGGGAAAGCTGTTGCCACCTAAGACCTTAGCTGCTACGTTCCTACTGCCGTAGAAAGCAGCATGACACTCACACCAGTTCTGTGAAGGTAACAATGGCAGCTTTGTCTCTCCCTCTGTCTGGTGATAACTTGCTGGTTTTGACAGCCGTAGTGGCATACGCTATGCTAGGTTTAAAATCCACCCACTAAAAAAAAAAAAAGACAAAACAGATGTTGCTGTTTCCCCTTTCAGAACTTAGATCTTACTATTTCTTGAGAGCTCAGACAGTCCATCCTTCCTTTTCCATATCATATGAACAGATTATTAGTATCTAATGCACATTCAGTTCAGACTTAGAGCACCTTTTCAGCTCTTAAGATGTGGTTGCTAAGCTCCAGTTTGAAGTGAACAGATCCTGAGCATCAAAATCAAGTTCAGATTTCTGTCCTCAGAAGCACTATATTGTCTTGACTACTGTAATACACTGCTTCTAGTCTTAAGCAGCTGAGTATGACCTAATACATTTTTAGACACAGCATGTAGATGTAATAAATACCACGGATGAAATAGAGATATCTGACATTTTCTTGTGAAATAGGAGTTCTAACCCACTATAGCTGCCATAGTTCCTTATATACAGTAGGCTCCCTTAACTTCATGACTCCGATTTCAAATCACTGGAGATGTCTGTGGACTATTCATATTCATCATTTTGAATGTATCACTTTTCAGGAAAACATTCATATCTGATTGGAAAAAAATGCAGTAATATTCCAAAATAAAAATGGAATATAGAACGCTAACATTACAACTGTTCCATTCTGTAACCACTAGAGGTCAGCTTTGATATCAAACATGCAGAATGAAAATTTGTTTTATAATATTTATCCTTTGACAACATAAACTGTGAAAGTGTCTATACCCGCTTTTCTATTAATAATTAACAGTTAGATTTAATATCCTATAAACCACAATTATTCTACAATATACAGAAATAAAGAATGCTTTTGCACGAAACATTTACTTTCTGTGTGCACATCATGTGCGACAGTATAGCTAGAGATTTAAAAAATGGAATGTAGAAGCATGTGAATTTCAGTTGAAACATTTTGAATAAAATTGCCAAATACTCTAATTAAAAAAAAAAATAAATTACAGGAGCTAGTTTTCCCCCTGCACACTGTCAGCTTATGCACTAGCAATGTGCAACAGACCAAAATATAGATTTGCTTTATGGATGAATGACAAATCAGATTAGAAGTATTATTTGGGGGGGGGTGGAGTGGGATCCAAAACAACAAAATCCTACTTGTTCAGAAGCATAAGATGACAAATTCCTTCCATTCTAGTTGCAGAACAGAGGAAGAATTTCAGATCCATGATTTGAACACTACCAGCAGATTGCAATGTCATACAATGCATATTGGTACGTACGACATATGCAACAGTATATGACTATTTCTTACAGTAAGTCATATACTGCTTCATGTGTTTTGAAAAACACTTTCATGCCTTGGGAGTAGAGGCCTCACACAGATGCAATATGTAAACTAAGAAGTGAAAGCAACACAGTAAAATATTTCATTTCTGAGTATTTAGAACTGAGTCAAAACTCTAGAGTTGTGACCATATCAACAGCAAATTACCCCCAAGTCCAGTCTGCAGGACATACAGACTTCCGCAAAGCTCCTGAAAAAGGGTACAGGTGACATTAAAATGTCTATATAAAATAAGACTTCAGACTGGGAAAGAGAAAATTGTGTCAGGAAACAGTAGCTGTTAGTTGGAAGAGCCATACAGTGCATAATCACCTAAAATGACTCACAAGACAAAGGGCATCTAATGGAAATATCCAGTATCAAGTGTCAAGGTAAACGTACGTACATCCATTCACATAAATATGTGCATCTGTGTAGGCAGATGCATACATAGGCTGAAAGAGTCTATCACAAGAATACCAGGTAATACTATACCTGTTCTGCTTTTTCAATCCTGCTGCTACTGGTCAAGATGGATTTTGGGGGCTTGTTTTGGTTTTTTTTTTTTTTTAGAAGGACCTTTATTCTGACCAGTTTGACCTACATTCTTGCTTGGAACTGTTCAGGGAAGATTTTAACTGCTGGTGATACAAGAATAGCAGTAGCTGCGAATATCCATGAATGACAAAACCATGTAGCTTACTGCTCCTCACTTAGTGTGTAAAAACACAGGCTATGCCTGCACCAACACAAAGGTTTTTTCGTGCTGGAGAAGACAGAGAAGTAGTTAGATGAAACACAATGAAAGTCAACAGAAGAAATACATTTGTGATACTAAATGCATTTGTTGAGAGCTGTACTGTCTATCATATATGGTAGAAGTTGTAGCATAAAGTAAAAGCCGAGAGGTAATACAACTGTGATTCTTGGAAAAAAGTAATACAAGATCAAACAAAAAGATGTTGCAAGGGAGATACCAAACAGGAAGAAGTCTCAGTTGAAAGTAAGACAACAGCAAGACAGACTGACCATAAGAACCGTCTGTAGGAAGGCAGTGAAGCCTAGCGATGAGGAAAGCCTACAGGTTAAGAAAATAAGACTCTACTCAGTGTTCAGTACAGGTAAGGGAAAGTACTGCATAATAAACATGTTAGTGAGTTTAAAAAAGCTTTGAAAATATTCGTTTTTATCTACATAAGAACAGGGAAAAATGAAAAAGAACAAAAGAACCAGGCAAAGGTTAAGGCTTCCTAGTGGGGTAGAAGGCATTTCACATCCAGATCATGAGTAAGAGTTGAGCAAATTTGTTTGGCAGTCTAAAACAGACTATCTTCTACTTCTTGTAAAACATTTACAATATACTATTCCTCATCTTAAGATCCATGCAATGCAAAAACCTTTTCTGTCATTTACGTAGAAATGCTGCCAAATATAATACAGCAGCAGAGTGCATCAGAAGCAAAATATCTTTAAGGAGGGCAAGAGAAACATATGTTTCCGATCTCAAGCCAGTTTGCAGGTATGAAACAGTGACTAAAGAAACCAGTTAACTTCTAGAGAGGAAGCAAAGTCATACGTTTGACAGGGGAACTACACGCTGCAACAAGCAAAAGACTTCCACTGTTTTGCACTGAGTATCAGTGACAAACCATCAAGCTTAGGTGCAAACCGGCAGTTATCAAAATAATCCAGGAACACACAGCAGATTAATTCAGGTTTAATTCAATGATTTAGACATTTTGGAAATTAATTATAGAATTTCAATTCAGTTGTATTCTAAGGTAAAATATGTTCTTAGTTTTTGTTTAAACTTCAAAAGTTTAAAGATACTGAAAAAGTTTATAGATATTGAATATAACTTCAATCAATATAATGGAAAGAAAACGAGTAATGCTCACATCAGCCTTGAATTTTAATCAAAGTCATCTTGGTTGTTCAAAAACACAGACATAGCAAAGCTATATGTCAGCCCCACTCAGTTACAGCTACTTTAACTCCTTTTTCTTCCTTAATGAACTACTTAGCAGTTCTGTAAATATACGGTAGCTTAGTTTTATTTTTTAATTTCATCACACATTAAAGTCTACCTTTGCTTACTATTGGATTATTTCTATGAAGGAAAAAATCAGCTTTCTACTTTCAAGTTATTTTCCTGAACACTTGGTGTTTCATCCTTGTGATCAGCTGCCAGCTGAGTAATTCTCACATCCTATTTATGTGTAGCAGAAAGTTTTTCCTAGAGATTTATGTATTATGCAGACACTGACATCATGACATTCTTTCCAAAAGAACACCAAATTAAAATGATCCATCTTTACAAGCTACATAAAATACTGCTTTTTACAGCAACCAATGTTAGCTTCAGCTTTGAAACATGAAGTTAGTTTATTCAGTATTAACATACTGCACATTTACAGTTTGAGATAATTCTAACCCATTGTTTTTGATGACAGTAGAAAAATACCCAGCTATAAGCAGGTGGAAATAAAGTACCTCAGTTTCATATTTGTCATAAGAGGAAGTTAAACTAAATAATCCCTCATCATAAACACTTCTTTTTTCCCCCAGAGAACTAACGAGAAAATAACATTACTATAATGCCAACGGACAACCCGCTTCACTCCCAAAGCAACAACAAAAAAAAAAGCAACACTCCACAGATTCACAATTGCTGTTTTTCAGCCTACAGTTTCAAGCACATCAAATCATCAAAAACAGTAACAACGTTGCTCTTTTGCTGATGGTCTAACACATTGCGGAAAGTTTCTAGGAAAGATAATATTCTCTGTTGTCCAAATAATAGATGTTATTTTCAACTAGAACATGAATTGCATTTAAGCAAAAAGAAAGTTTTATCATTCCCAGATAATCTTGATGTACCTCTCAAAGGGAAGCAATCTTCACTTTGAAAAATCTAAAGGCAAGTGAAAACTGATTACTACTCAGCCAGTAATTCTAAAAGTGGGAAGATATCTGAATGGGATTCCAGTGGAACCTGACCTGAGTCCAGCACTTTTGAATGTATTTAGCAGTAACTTCAACGATGGAACAAAAAGTAAGAAACATCCTTAACAGATAGCATGAAATGTGCAGTTAACACAAGCATGCTAGAGAACAGAGTGAAAAAAGAAAAACCATAAATATGTTGGTAAATGGAGAATCATCTGATGAAGCAGTATTCAATTCTGTAATGACAAATTCTACAGTGATTGCAGGGGAAAAATAGGCTTCACAAGAACAGGGCAGGGGGAACAAGTAAAAAAGCACCAAACTTCGTGAGAACAAAGAAAGGAAAAATTGTGAGCTCATGGTTCTGCAGTGAAAGACGTGGTGCTTCTGTCAGACTGCAAACTCAAGGCATGTCCACAGTGTCATGCTATTTTCCAACCTAGGTTACATAAACCGGAGCGTGGCAATCCCCAAAAGATACTACTGAAGGGGACCTCAGGATGCTTTGTGTGTGAAATACATCAACCTTTCTTCTCTGCTCCTCAGTAGGAATACCGCAGGCAGTTGCTATGAGATCACTTTAATTTACAGAGAACTTAAACCAGCCATTGAGAATGCTCAGTAGCACAGGAAATTACAAGAAAACAAACACTAAAGGAACTGTGTTTATTTGGTTTATACAAAGCATCATCAGAGGGGGAAAAGTTACAGCTCTTTACAGGTGGTTGTTTTTCAGCATTTTAAAAGGAACAGTTTGCTATCCATATCCACTGTGGTTAGGCCAAGAAGCAATCAACATGAAATGCACTAAAACAGACATACTATACACATTTAGAAAGATTTCATAACAAAAAGCTAGTTAAGAACTGGAATGGGAAATCATGGAATTGCCAAGAACAAACTGGACAATCACCTGTCATCAATGACAAGCACACAATCAGTTTCGCTGTGTAACAATGGCAGGGATTAAATATTCTCTCTTGGGTGCATTAAGCCTTTACCTAGGACTGCACAAATTCTCCTCCTGTATGACAGATCTGAGGACTGTGTTTCATAATCATTATCTTTTAAATCTCTTCGAAAACTTCAACTTTTATTTTATTGTAATAAGGATTCACAGTAAATGTGTTATTTACTTGTTTCACTTGTTATAATACTATGATAGGAGACATATTAAAATATATTAGTGTTCTTTATTCTCATTGCTAAAAAAGAGATAGCATACCATTATACCATTAACAAAATATTAGGAGGGTTTTAATAATTAAAGTGTAGGCCTATTTCTAACTGTTAAAACAAATAGTTAAAATAGATATTCATAGAACATTTGTGAGGCAAAAATTCTGATTAACAGTTTAACAACTTGCTAGATGCATTTTTGAAAACCAGAAGTGTAAAGGCAAAAAATGGAAGTTTCTAAAGAATTAAAAGGTAAAACTTCAAGAATCACTCTAAATGAAACATTACATATTTTAAGAAAAAATAAAGCCATGCATTCCATAATTTTCAGTAGATCACAACTGTTGAGAAGAAATGTTACCATAGTAACAAGGTCATCAGTAACCATTATATATAGCTTCTTCCTTTTTTGACAGGGGATTTTGAGATTACCCTTTCAAATACCCTTTCAACACAGTATGAAAAACATGCTGCTTAACACACAGAATGAAAAACATGCACACTGTTCTGAGTGCATCATTTTATGGATGACAGACATCATCATCTGGTACAACTTTAGAAACTGCTATTCTAGCCATCTTCCCAGCATTAAACATGAATACCCTGCAATTAACCCATGTATCACAGCAGTAAGACAAATGAACAATTCTGTGTAACACTGACGAAACAATCATGGTGGAAGAATCCAGTTCTTACAGAAATATTAGAAATACTATACAAAACTATTCCAGTAAATACAAAAGCACATTCAGACACAGAGTTTATCATCTTATATTAACATATCTTCACATTTAAAGGGTAGGGAAAAAGGCAGACTGTCTAGGGCATAAAGGAAAGAGAACAGATTCATAACACTTTCTTGCAATCTAATTATAAAAATATTGCCACAACCCCCATTCATGTGCACTATATTGTCTAGAACACTCCAATGTCCAATGTTAAACACTACTTCCAGAGTATGAGTGCTGGAAAACAGTTTTGCATGCTTATATTGTTTTCTCAAACGACAGAATAAAGTTTTTATTACTGTGTACTCTTTTTTCATTTTTTTGTATTTAATTTTTGTTTTGAAATCATTATATTAAAAGAAGAAATATTCCTAAAATACTACCTATTTTAAGATTGTAAATATAGGCCATCTGACAATAATGGACAAAAACTGAAGACTTCTCAAATGACACATAATCTCACATGCCCATTGAGAAGCCACCTGCTATTAGCCATGTCACCTGCAATTTCCAATTAATCTGTAGGTTTTTTGAGACTTTTTCTAAATTTGCTTATGTGCAATAGAAGGAAAAAAAAGGATAAAGTATGTTTTTTAGCAGTGTGTTTTGTATTATTGTTAATACAGATTTAGTTTTTTCAATTATCCATCTCTCCCAAAACAGCCATGTTCTAAAACTAAGCAGATAATACGTAATAGTGAAATAACAGATTACATATGATGAAAAATTCACTTTGTGACAAGTATAAGAATACTCACACTTGTGGACTCAGTGTTACTGTTCTCACCATCACAATAATCAGGATGACAATAGTTAAAATCAGAGAACTAAGGGATACCTGTAAAGGTGAAAACATAAATTCAGTCAGTAAACTGCTGAAAGGTTGTCCTTTTAGCAGCATAATGTACCTTTTTTTTTTAAACAGAATAATGAACAAACAAGTAAAGTTCTAAATACCACATCAAATATTTATAATTAGAAAGCTTGTCCTATATCAACATCTTTTAATTTGTGACTCTTTTTGAGTACCTAGCCAACTGCAACTGTTTGCCTAATTTTAAGTGATATTCCCGTTTAAATATTTCTGATCAATGATGCTCAGCATTTCAAGATCAGGCCTATACCACGCAGTGCTTCACAAGATTTGAGTTCTATTAGCAATAGATAGAAAAATTCCAGCGATTCATTCGGAGACCAAAGTTTTGCTTAAATTATTCCAAGTTTTCCAGTATTTCTTGGAATAGAAGGTAGTCTGAACTTCTAAAGTACTTCACATGCTCTAGCCAAATGCGACTGAGTTCAAATACATTAAGTTACAACTGGCACTTATTTTCTAATGGCATACAGAAAAGTAAACCAAAAATGCACTGCTATTATGATTTACCTTTCCCAGTTTTGCTATGTCTTGATATAAAGATATAGGCAAGGTAAAGATGATGGTGGTAAGAAGAATTATGAAGTTCCGGTCAGTAAGCACGTTATCTGCTCCAACTAAAGCAAAAAAAGAAAATAGTTTATTTCTCCAAGAGACTGACATGAGGAACAGATTAGTTACGTTTAAAAGGCTAGGAGAAGCAAACTCTGAAGTTGACCAGGCTTTTATCCCCTTTACTAAAGCTAAGTAACACTGAAATAAAGACTAGGCATTAACTAAACCTGAGGGAGCCACACACAGTATGTGCACAACCACAAGAATTCCGCAAATTCATATGGGATGTATTATACCAAACTTTGGAAGTCTGGCATTTCTACATATAGATTAGTGTTAATTTCTTTCATCATGTCTGGGTCAACCTTGGTAGATTGCGAGTGAAACATTCTACTACTTCTTTCTGCCATTTACTTCTCAGGATTTTTTGACGCTATGTTGACAATAAGTAAACTCTTAAAGAACAATCCTAAAACAAGTTAATTCTGAGTTTTGAGCACATTGTTTCTTGCTGTCAGCTGGCTTCCACTTGCAAAATTCAGATTACCATGTGAAGGCAACACTAATGTTATAATATTCCCTGCAATCAGTGGGATTTATCTGTACAACTGGTGTTTTTTTCAAGCCAATGACAACTTAAAATAAAACATACCTGTTTCAGTCAAGTTACCATGAACCCTGGGCTTGAATGAAAGCTTGCTGAACAATTATGGCTAGAAAGTGACTGGCAATTGACATGGGAAGTCTGTGTTCAGCTCCCTCTATTCTTTCGGAGATTCTTAAGTTTTTCCACCTCTTTCCAGGCAGGCATTCTACCAGCCAGGTGAAAAGATGTGAGTTGTATTGTATATAAATTATCAGATAACTGTCACTATCAACCTGATCAGGTATTCACAGAACAACAGAGTGTGACAGTTAAAACTGCATCCACACCTTGCAGGCTCCACCTGCTGAAAATTCTACTCATGTGGAAATCAAACCGTTCATAGACATTCTAATTTCAACTTCATTGTAGACATGTTTTTTTACGTTTAATTTGCCAGTGAAGAATGTTTTAACTTAGCTGGCTTTGTGCTAAAGTAGATGGCACACATGCACACAAATTGCACCACTGATTCCACTGTGAAAACTTACAGCAGAGGAAGGGTAACAAGTGCATGAGTTAAAAAGCTCAAAATGACACATCTGGTTTTGCAGTGAATATCTAAGAGAACTGAAAGTTACATATGCAGTTCATGACCAACTATTACAGATATGCTTAAGTAAGCATTAAATCCATTATATTATTTGCAAGTCATACAGAATTATTCACTAGATAAAGTGCAATTTCAGTATTCAAATGATTATTATAGGAAATATCTAAAGACGACAAAATATGATGACCTTGTAAATATACCACTGTAGGAGATGACTCCTATTTGCTTAGTATTTCACTGAAGCATGTGGTCTCTTCACTGACACTGAGTCCAATGACAACCAAGGACTAGGATTCATAGGTTTTATTTGAGAAAGACTTACTCAAAAAAAACCACCACAAAAACAAACCACTCAAAAACCCACTCATACAAATAGGCCTCAACTTCTTAAATGGAACTATATTTAAGAGTAATTCAGAAGCAAAGTATCAGGTAGGACTTCAGATTGACATAGAATACTGATCTCTAAATACTTCTGCTATATTCCTATGCAGCACATTTTCCTGTTCTGAATTTTTAAAATGCATCTTACCTCCAGGAATTCTCTGAAAAACTTTAGTTAAAGTGTCTCCTGTTATTATGTTGTAACTGATCATAGCTTAAAGAAAATAATTTTTTTTTTGTTAGTACAAGTCAAATATGAAGTATTTGATAAACATTTAATACGCATATTTTGTAGACTTCAGGATTACATGCCACTATCCCTCTTGTATGAATTCTGGCTACAACGAACAACTTCCAAGTTTCAGGTTTAAAGCAAAATGAAAAAAAAATTCTTTAATATTCCCCCTCCCCCTTTTTTTAAACAGGTACAACCTAAGCAAGAATCCAGTCTGATAAGCCAAGCTCTTGTGTTGACTCGCCATATAAACTTATTTCAGAAGAGGAAGAAAAGACTTTTTTAAATTGTTTGTTTCTAACAGCAATTCTTTGTCAGCTTATTTCAAATTCTTGTTTCTATTTAGTAATGTTCCTATGTTAGTCTAATAATCAGTCTTGCAATCAAATGCACAGAATTTCATTGCTTATGTAAAAAGTTCGCAAAATCTTTAAACCAGGAGAAAGGAGAAGAAAATAGATGAAGATATAAGATACAGACTTCCATTTCTTCCTGTCATTAATAAGAACTGTGGCCTTAACATTCATATCGCATTCTTATCTTCTTCTACCCCAGAAGTATGTTTATGTGTGCATATATGTATATATACACACACTATGTATTTAAATACTCATGTGGGCTTCACCATTCAGACTGCATACATGTAGGTATTGACCTTAACTAATGTACAAATATTAATTGTTGTGAAATTGTATGTCATTAACACTACTCATAGAAATAAATTCAAGCACATATATGCATAACCAGTTCCATGGCAAGGACTGAGATCTTTACGATTCTTTCCCATATTCTCTATGAAGTAGTAATTACATTCTTTTTTAAGTCGGCATGTGTAACATTGCTGCCCGCAGAAACCGTAACTTCATTCCTTTAAAAATCTCAGCTATCTGTAACAAATTCAGACTTATTATTCCTAAAGCAGGAATTCTGATCCGGTACTCTGTGGTCAGTGAGTCCAGACTCTTGGGATCTCAAGCCACCACCTCTTGCAGCCCCATGTGTGAAAACATTAAGCTTATTTAAGATTTAATTATGTAACTACTGTAGAGGACAGATTCAGAATATCACTTTATTTTAAACTTCCCATCTAATTAATTCCTTCCCAGATTATACTTGTTTGTTCTTTCACTATTTCTTCTTCAAAGGGGTCTTGACTGCCCAGTTTCCTAGTAGCTCGCTGGGTTACGAGGCTGAATCAATGTTTTTGAAGAGCAATGACAGCACATAATAATCAAGCCAGATCTGATCAGTAGCTTCTCCAATGACAGTAATACTACATCTCAGAAAAAATATTAATTCAATATACTCCTACACTCATATTTTCCTTTTGTTTTAGGCACATCAAATCTGTGCTCTGTTACTCATTCTAGAACAGAATCTCTTCTTTGCTGTTTCTCATAGCTACTTTTGTCATTAGTTTTTAGGTGTGTGATCACAAATTTCTCTGCTATTACATTTCAGTTAATTTCTATTATTCTGGTCCTGCAATTCGTTGAATTCTTCCTCAGTCATCCTTCAGAACACAGCAAGTAATTTTTAATGATTTTTTTTCTTACAAGAAAGAGGCATATACAGTATGTTTTTTACAGAGTTCTAAATATTTAACCAGTGAAAGAATGAGCTAATGTGAAAAAGCTTGTTATTTATAAAAATTAACATTTATATTTCATGTGATCTTACCAATAAATGGATATAAAAATTGAAGAGTTGAAAGAATTAGATAACCTACAAGACCATATGTTTTTTTGACCATCTCTTGATACGTGTTGGTACTGGAGAGGTTTCCTCCCTTGATCAGTAATATAATGGAATAATCTGTTAAAATATAAAGTTACTGTTAAAGATAGTATGAACCAACTTGTGGTTGGTTACTGCTCATCTTTTACACTCCTTAAAAAAAAAAAGTCTGTATAAAGGAAAACACTGGCACTGGGAAGAGCAAGGATGAGAAATACCACAAATCCACCAAAACCAGGAGTTATAAATTCATATTGGAAGGAAATTCCAGCTCTCCTAGCAGGGACAGCAGATTTCCACTACGATCAAAGGGAATGAGAACAATTAATTATGCAGAGGGCTCCTGAATGGATGGAGCATTTGATCATATCCTGAAATGGGGTAAAATGTGAGAACGGCCTGTGTCACAGTGCTAGAACTCTCAATTGCTTTACTCAGGTATTTATCTAAGTTTGTGAAAGATAAAGCCTGATTAGCATTTTGTGTCTTCTCCATTGTTTAATGATAAAAATATTATAAACATTTTCATTGGATATGTTTAAAATAAAACATGTGCAAAGTGATTTATCTGAAAAACCATGAAGCAATGTGCCTTAAAACAGAGCTGATGTCACAGGTGGAATTACTTCCAGACTGAACCTCAACTTTTTATGAAGAAGACTTCGAAACACTGCTTTTATGTCAAGCTACACTTTAGTATTCAGTTGAGCACCATGGGATTTTCCAGTCCAGATTAGTTACAGCACAGAATTTATTACCTTAATGCAGATGTCTTGACAGATAGTAGCTAGACCTCGTCTATTCCTCATCTGGCTTTCACTTAGCTCGTAATCTATGCTGCGATAGGAACAGTTCCTTTCTGTGAACAGTATCGATGTTTATTCTGGGAATGACTAAAATTACGGAATTTTCACAGTCTTCACAAAGGAGATTTCTACCGTTTATTAATGTGAAAGCCAATCCAAAGATTCCCATGAGCATATGCAATTCTTACACAATATATACTCACACTACAATTGGGAGCAGACAAAAGCAGAGATACAAAAGTGTTCATTATCAATTATGGTGCATACCGAGCTGATCTTGTACAAGATATATTGTCTTTGTAGCAAAGGATCTTGGACTCACAAAACTTGAAAAAAAGATTTATTGTTACATGACCTAAAATTGTATTTGTCTGTCAACATAGGACTACACCCAGTGTAATTCAAAAACATCTCCCAAAATGAAATACAGTGAGAATTGCTAAGTAACAGCTATTTGTGAATTATTCAGTAAAAACAATGGACAATAAATGCTACCGTTACATACTTAGTCTGTACTTTAAATGCTACAATTCAGAAAGCTGTAACTATAGCTATAATTTGCTTGTGCAAGGCATACTCAGCCACAGCTTTAACATAATAAAATGCTGAGTTTAATTCACTGGTTCTGGGCCCATGGTTATAAAGTCTTCAAAATACTTAAAAATGTAAAGGAAAAATCAGATATCCCACAGAAAAGTAACTGAAATTTCTGATCTGTATTTATGCTATGATTTCATTAACGTATTTTGCCATCAGTCATACAGATGATTTTCCATTTGTAAGTAACATACTCCTTATGTCATACTGCTCTCCAGTCAAATCTTGATCATTTATGCAGACTCTTAAATGATATTTTAAGCATCGAAAACCATCAACTGCTGCTCAGCATACAGGAAACAGGATTTGTGCCATTCACGTTGACTTGGTTTGTCGTTTTAAGACTTGAATCCACAGAGTCTTTACAAAAAATTCTCCTTTGATGCCAATGTATTTACTTATTTTTATTTACCATGTGATTTCAAAATTTGCCCCTTTTTGCAGGTAAATCCATTTTTTATGAACAATAATTAAATAAAATATTAAAAAACATAGTACAACCAAATGTTTTCATTCTGTGGTATCTTTAAGAAAAAGGGACACATAACCCACTCAGGGATCAGTTTCTTAATTAGGGTAAAAACAGTGGACTAATACAGGTGATTATGAGGCACAAATAAGAGCTATTCTTCCAAATGTCACCTTGACCTAGCCTAAGAAACTAGGCTTTACGAAAATAAAATGCACACAAAAAGCAGCTTTATATGTTGTGCAGTATAATTCTCTACTTTTACTAAACTGCTCAAGGGATTAGTGAGTTAAAGAAAAACTCTTGTCATTTTTATTGTCATAGATATACTCGTTTAAGTTACGACTAAGCTCAAAATCAGCTAAGCGTTGCAAGACTAATGTTCACTTTACAACAGAAACTTCTTTTAGAGTACCTGTGATATAGGCAACCACAAATAAAAGCAGTACTCCAAGTGGAAAACCAGCTTCCTTCATTGAATATGGCAATCCTGTAAATAAGAAAAGGAGAGATTACAGAAGAACTTTTCCAAATACTTATTTGCGATGACAAAAAAAAAAATATTCAGATTTAAAAAAAAACTGTCAATCTCCCAAACTGGAACAGGATGTTTAATAAACTCAGAGAGACAGTTTGTAGTGGAAAAAAGGTTGCCTAGGTGTGAAGTTCAGCCAGCACCTGTCCAACCACCTCTCTCTGACCATTACAGCAAAGAGGCTGTAGGGTATTTATCACTGTGACACGTGATCTCAGCTGACAGCTTTGCATTTTTGCACATTAAGCAAATAAAAATAGAGAAAAGTCTTTAGGACCAGCAGCAGAAAGTAAGGCAATAGTGTTATTCTCCAAACTGAATAGTCATGCATATACAAGCAAGGCTGAACACAGGATGGTGAAGAAAAGTATACTTACCTATAATGCCTGATCCTATGATAGAGTTTACAATGTTAAATCCAGCTGATGCTAGACCACTGTTTCCTCCTTTATTCCTGCGCTTACTAACAAGGGCTGTTTGGTCATCTGTTTCTACCTATTTCAGGAAGACAACATACATGAGAAAAATAGGTGAGAACAAGGATTTTACTCACAGTTTATTCAAGATCAAAAAAAATGATCACAAACTCAGGCTTGTAGGATTTTACAGATAGTTTATTCAAGATAAAAAAAAATTGTCACAGACTCAGATAAGTAGAGGTATTTTGTTAACTAAATCCCATCTTGTTCAGTGAGAAATCAAAGGGGCATTAGGCATCTAATTCCCGCATAAATCTGACCCATAATCTTCTGTAATGAAGTATTCTTTGAATAGGTGGAAGGACAGAAATCTATATAAACTCCAAGGTAGGCTGTTAAACAAAGAGCTTTTTAGTCATGTTCCAAAGGCAGAAATGTGAACCAAGTCTTTCTGAAAATATTTTGGCTAGTATGACTGGTCAGTAAAAACATGCCCCTGAATCAGGAGAATGAAATCAATTTCAACAGTTACTAGTAAAGCATGCCAACATCTGAAGATGCTCTAATTCAAGGTTTCATCCAGCATCTGATGTATTTCTGTGTCATCCAATGGTTTAGTTTGTTATGAATAGTTAATGACACTACAAAATTGGCCAGTCCCAGAAAGTTTCTGTGGGAAGTTCTGGTACAAACCAAAGTTCAAAGCACAATTTGTAGCCAGTAGCTTCAAAAATTAAAGTTCTTTTCTTCAAAAAGCATTTCTTCACAAGCATGCAGTGGTCCTCTCCTCAGATCACCACTCTGCTGTCAGAGAACATTTTAGAATCATTCATTAGAAGGTCAGTATTTTAAATGAAGTCACGTAATTCAAAAGAGGAACATGCATTTAACAAAGAAAATGCCTGCCTGTGTTCTACAAAACATTGTGTACTTACCATGAAAATAAAACCACTGTTTCATGGATGCAGGAGCCTATTTAACATATATAGTAGGCAGTACAAACTCAGATGCTTGTTACTAATAGTCCTAGGAAAAAAATTAAATGACTGATAAATCTAAGTCATCTGTAGATAGTGTTATAAGCTGACAAGCATAAGAGTGCCTCAAGGAGGGCTACGTATTTAAGTGGAACCTCTAATCCTTAAGCAGCGCTAATGTAAGTAGAGTAATACTGGCTCAGATCAAAGGTTTGTATAGCCTGGTATTCCATTTCTGAAAGTGGCCATGGAAGGCAACTAGGAAAGAGTATAAGAACATAAAAAACAGATAGTTACCAAACAATTTTCCTCTGCCAGCTTTCATCAGTTTGCATACCCTCGACTTCCCAAAGCAGGTATGTCCTCGGTGCATCACATCCCTTAATGGATTGCTCCTTGAATTCCCCCTTTTTTGAAGCCATTTATATTTTTTAGTATCTGCAATCTCATGTGGCAATGAATGCCGCTTCTTAATTATGCATCATATGAAAAGACAGGTGATCTTCTTTGTTCTGAACCTACCATTAAATACTTCCACTTGGTGTCCCAAAAATTTTTGTATCGTCACAGACAAACCAACCACTATTTTCTACTTATCTTCTCTGTATTACAGGCAGTTTTATAGGTAACATTCTCCCTCAGCTGTTTCTCATCTAGACTTAGAGGCAGTACATTTTATTTCACCACTAATTTGAGCAGCAGAAGCAACACTGTCATTCTTTCCTGAAATTTTAATGCTGATACTTACAGCACAGTACAGGTGAAATTGCACTGAACTAGAACAGTCCAGTTGCCTCTTTTCAGTTGTTACAAGAAAATGAACACAATGTACATTGTACAGCTTGAAGACTCTGTCATGAACCCTGGTCCCTTCCCCACTTGGAAGAGGCACGTTTGAATGGGCAAAAAGGACAAGAAAGCGCAACAGAAGTTGTGGCATAGGTGAAATGGCTCCCACGTGAAGATTAGCACTCTTGAAGCTGCACCTGGACTGCAGATAAGGGAGGGAATGCCTCCTGGGAGGTGTGCTAGGGAGCTATGCTGTGTGGAAGGCTGCGGAAGAGGTGAAGAGGCCCCGCTTGGCCCTCGTAGGGTCCTCTCCCAGGCACCGGCTGCAGACCATGACGCAGCCAGGGGTGCCCAGTATTGTACTGACAGCGGCAGGCCCACCAGGAGATAAGGTGCTCCAGTTCTGGCCCTCAAGCAGGACCGAATTTCCGCTGTGCCAAGCAGCCACAGTTCCCCTACCTCACAAGTGTAAGGCCCCTCAGATTGCATTTTTTTTCCGGTGTGGTACCTATGTCCTACGAAACAGTGGGAAACTGAACGGAGATGAAGAGGCATAGCCGCTGTCAGCACAGCCGGGGAGCCGGGCCGACGCACCGACCCG